GAGAAGTGCCAGCAGCTCCGCCGCAGGGTCAGCGCGCAAAAAGTACATGTTGGGGTTCCACCCACGCACCACGCTCGACCCAGTGAACGGGGCAAAAGCGACGGCGTTTTCTTGCGCAAGGACACTTTTTATGCTCTCCAAAAGCTTGTCGCCACTGTGACCAACGACGGCGTAAATATCCTTGTTCCTCAACACCGAAGAAAGGTCCCCTGGATAAGTGGCGAATGTTGTGTTTTGCATGACAACATCCACACGCACATCGTCCTCCACAACGAAGTTCCGCGAGTGCAACGAAGCATTTAGCCCCGCAACGATGTTCCTGGAAAAATCATCAAGCCCCGGGATATTGAAGCGAAAAAACACAACCTTGACTTCTTTTTGAACCGCCGCAGACCGAGCAGCGCCACATGGAAGGGGCAGCAGCAGCAGAAGAGGGAGGACGACGACGACAAGGACAAGAAGGCACGGCGCCGCCGCAGAGGGCCGCAAGCCCAGCTGCGCAGAGCAGCCGCGCCGCCCCCAACACACCGCCATAACCGCTGCTGCCCTGCAACTGTCTTGCTGTGTAGCCTGTGGATTCCTACAGAAAGGAAGGAGAGGATTTGAGGTAATAAAAAGAGACTGAGGGGTGGCTTGCGCAAAAATGAGACTGTACCGCCTCATTATTTTTTGGGCCATCTTAGTTTAGTGATCCACAGAATCAGAGATGTGTTTTTTTTCTTCCGTTTCATTTCATTGGTTTCGGTTGCTATGACTCATTTTTTTTGTTATTACACAGGTATTGGTAAGAATCATTCCATGGCCGAGGTAGTCGTCATGGGAGGCATGGGCGTGGATGGGGACAGACGCACGTGCCCTGTGGGATGTCCATGACGGCCCTTTTTTTTTACTTCCTCTTTGTGTGTGTGTGTGTGTGTGCCCGTGTGTGTCTCCGCAGCGGTGAACGGAAAAATAAACATAGTGGCACCTCATTGCGGGACCTCCGCGTTCGCAGAAGAAGGGCCGTCGTTGGAGCGGCTGCCGGGTGCCAGTGGCAGGTGTCGTTGGGTGCCAAACAGGCAGAATAGGCAGCGAGATGGTGCGGGAAGGACGGGTGCGCCTTCTAGACGCAGGCGTGTTGCCTTTGCGGGTGTTGTTGTTGTTGCCTTTTTTGTTTTTCACCCCTCTTCCACAGCCGCACTCAATTCATTGCTCTTCCCCCGCCGCGGCCGCCTTGCCCGCGTCGCCTGCCTGCGCCCTTTCCCCGCCATAGCCTCACCCACCCCACCACACTTTCCACCCGTGGAGCCGGGGAGACTAAAAGCGAAGCGCGGCCAAGTCCGGTCGGGCCTTGTCACAGACCTGGCAGTAGAAGACGTCGTTCGGGTTGAATTTGCTGCAGCCGCCGTGCTCGACGGAACACGCCCAGCAACCGGGGGGACACTCCCATGCCACGGAGAGGGCGGCATCGATGCCGCCCGCACCGGCCTGTGCGTCGCCGAGTGGGTTGGGGTTCGCAGACAGGCACATGCTGCACATCGACTGCCGCTGGGATGCGTTGATGAACGTGCACTGGGAGCAGGACCACGGCGCGTCAGTTGTGTCCGTGCGCGTCGCAGCACACTCGCCGCGGGCTGCAGCCGATGGCCTCGGCGAGTCACAGGCAACGCACCGTCGCAGTGTGGAATCGTTGAGTAGAGTACATCTTAGGCAGTGCCACGGCTCTTCTTCTGGGCTCCCGGGTGCATGCGTCGCGGCGAGGCGCGCTTGAAAGAACTCCTCCTGCAGCACGGGAAACGCCTCCGCCACACGGCGCAGAGGGACGCAGTGTGGCTGGCCCCCACCCGTGGCTGCGCAGGTGCGGAGTCCAGGCGCAGCGTGTTGGCACAAGTACCGTAGCGCGTGCTCCACGTCGTGCGGCGTAAACGGCTTGGCGACGGATGGAAAGACATCATGAAGGATCCGCGCCATCCTGTCGAAAGGCAACGACGCGGTGGACGGGTCCGCCGGCTGCATTTCGTCCGGGGATTCCTCCAAAGCCTGCGAGACACGCGCGTGGAAGGAGCGGAGCTGTGCAACCAGCTGCGCGGGTGGAGGTGTCTGTACGGCGCGTTCGTGCAACGCCTCAAACCCCACGCGCAGCGCGGTAAGTATCGCCAGTGGCCGCATGGCCTCCTGCTGCTCCGCCGGAACAAAGAGGGCGGCCACCGGTGCGTCGTCCCAGTGATTCCTGTGGCGCCGCCGGGCACGCAGACAGTCTGTGAAGAACTGCAGTCGGTCCATGCGAGAGACGCCCCGCAGCACCTCCTCCAGCACGGCCAACTCCCCGGGCAAAAAGAACATGTCGTTGTTAACGAAACGGTACAGCAGCAGTGCCCCGTCCCGCTCCACGCACGGCGCCGGCGCCGGCGACGGCGCAACCCCCGCTGGGGGCAGGCCGGCAGGGACGCGCCCCTCCCAAACGCGGGGGGCGGCGAGGGGAAAGAGGTCCGTGGCGTCCATGTAGCGCCCGCTGCTCACCACCCGCAACGCCATAGCGACCCGCCCTGCGAGGAGCGTCGGGTGGTGCATCATCCACCGCAGCGACTCCCCCTCCGCAAGGGTGACCAGGCCAAAGTGAAGGACGTGCACCTCCTCCTCGTTGGACGGCAGCGGAACCCATTCTAGCGAGAAGAAAACGTTCTTCAAACGACGCTCGCCGGCGCCGTGCCAACCCTCACGATAGTAGTTTTCGCTGACTTGAATCGCGGCATCCACGAGGAGCAGCGGCTGCTGCGGTCGGACGCGGAAGCGGGTCACCGGGTAGAAGCAGCTGCCCTGCGCGGGGTGGTCCTTGCAGTGCGTCTCAAGCGTCTCCACCCGCCAGGGGATGTGGCACTCGTCGTCACGCGACGCCACAGAAACCCGCTGCTCCTCCTGCTCCGCCTCCTGCTCCTGCTCCTGCTCCTCCTCCTGCTCATGCACGACCTCGGAGTCTAAATTCATGGCCGCGGCGGCGTCGGCGCTCGCGGCGGTCGTCAACTCAGTCCCGCGACTCGCAAGCGAGGAGGCCAAACGCTGCATGAGGTCGTCAAGAAACTGCTGCGACGCCGCATCGCCGGCGATGAGGGCCTGTGGTTTCTCGCGTGTGTGCTCCATTAGACGCTGCAGAAACGGGACGCAGGTGTCAATAACGGCGTCAACCGGGTACGCCACCGGCTCACGGAATTCCTGAATGGCGGAGCGAAGGAGGGAGAGATCCGGGAGCGACGGTGCCTCCGCGCACTGCCGCCGCATGTGAAACCGTCTGCAGCGTGCCATGTCGGTGTAGAGGTCTGGATGTGCGTGGAAGTGAATGGAGTCCGCGAGTAGGTACTGCAGCGCCTTCTTGCGCCACACGTTGGCCAGCTCCTGCATGCTCAGCTTGATAAACTGCAGACTCTCCATTTGCACCGAGTTAAGTAGGAGCCACGCGGGGACGTCAAGGAGACGGTTGCCCGTCGCCGCCACACCAAGCGTGGCGTGGATGCGTGCGAGGACTTCGGGGATAAGGTAGAGCCGCAGCCGCTGCCCTTTGCCCACGCCCCGCATGCGGTAGGCCCCCTGCGCGTAGTCGCGGAAGACCATGTCTTTCCCCAGCGTCACCACCGCCGTGACCGACGCCGCCTGACGCACGTCCGTCCCTGTGGTGTGGACCTGGTCGAAGAAGGTGAAGCGTCGCGTGAGGGCGACGCCGGACTGCGCCACCGGCACCTTCGTTCCGTTGCCGCGCTGCAGCATCATCTGCCGATCCTTGTTGTCGAGGAACACGACACCGTCGAAGAGGGCGGGGGGCAGCCGGGAGAGCAGGTAGCGTGCGACATCCTCGTTCTCCATGTTTGTGATCAGTGCGCCGGCGTCGATGAGGGCGTGGTACGGGGGATGGGCTGCGGCGATGCGGTCCAGCACCCGCAGCGGCGTCCAGTCCGGCGGCAGCACCTCCGTGGTGACAACCAACGGGTCGGTGAGGACCGCCAGCACCCGGCCGTCGCTGCCGGGCTCGTAGAAGCACTCGCCAAGGTCGCGCGGGAGCAGGTTGCTGGGAGTTCCACTGAACCCAATGCGTCTGGTAAAGAGCATGGAGGAGCCGAGCTCGTGGCCACAGGCACTGATCTTCATGCCTTGAAAGTTCATGGTGCGGGGAAAGACGTGGGAGCACAAGTAGTAGTGCGCCACCTCCGGCAGGTAGCGGAGGCGGTGGTGCAAGGCGTGCACCGCCACCTCGTCGGTCACGTGCAGCTGCGAAAGTGGAATGCCGGAGCGATCCTGGGGCGGTGCGCCGTCTGGCGCGTGCGGCGGCGGGGTGGCCTCCGCGAGGCCCGCCGCCGCAGACGCCGGGGACGCTGCTGCCACGTTCTGTGAGGCGTGGCACCCGCCCTGCGCCTCCGCAGACACGCTGAGGCGCAGCCAGTGGTGGTACAGCCGCGCCGCCGGGCGATGCTCCTTCGGCCCCGACTGTCGTGTAAAGTCCTGCTTCAACTGCAGCAGCAGCGCCTTGACGTCGGTGAGGCGCATGCCCTCGTAGCGAAAGGCAAGCACCGTTAGCCCAATCACGACGTCGGGGTGGGCGAACTCGGAGCTGCGGCTGGGCACGTCCTTCGCGACGAACGGAATCGCCATCAGACGACGACTCAGCGGCATCCGTTCCCGCTCCTCCGCGGGCACGGTCTCCATGTCCTGCGGCTGCATGAGACCGAATCCCACACGGTCAATCTTTGCCAGGACGTGCGGCAGAAGGCGGTGCAACCAGTCGTGGGCAAGGCAGAGCAGTTGAATCGCAAACGGGGTGAAGTTCGCGTTCATGGCAGACCCCAGAGCACTCGTCCTGGCTGGGCGCACGGGATGGAGCAAAAACTCGGTTGTGCCTGCACGGAAGGAGTCCCAGTTCAGTGACGCCGCGAAGGATGCGGTGGGCGCGTGGAAGCCAAGCCGGCTCGCCCGCCGGATCTCGTGAAGCAGCCACAGCTGCACCCACGGCAGCAATGCCGGGAGCAGCAGGCGCTGGTAGTACGCGTGGTCGAGCAGCACGAGATGCGGCTCCCGCTGCAGGGCCTGCATCTCATACCCCTTTCCAATGGCGTCGCGGATGCCGCTCAGCAGCGTCCGTTGCAGGCTCTGTCGCTCCTCCGGCGCCCCGCCCTCCTCTGCGAGGTGCTCCTCGGCGGGGCGTCGTCCGGCGTCGCAGGCGAGTGCGACATCGAAGTGCGCCGCGTCCGTCAGCGCCGCGGAGGATGTTCGGCCGCGGTGGTAAAAAAACACCGCGTCGAGCAGGTGCATCGGCAGCGTCCAGCGGGGGCCGCTGAGGTCAATGGGGTGCTTCAGCCCGATGGGGAAGTTCAGCTCGGAGCGGAGCGGGTGCAGCAGGACATCCACCTCGTCCATGATGAGCACCCCGCGCTGCCAAAGCTGAAGGATGGGCGTGATGGCGTCTGCCATGGCGGAGCGCTGCTGGGTTCGGCGAAGCAGCCCGCGCGCCTGCACCGCCACGCGCTCGTCGGCGCCGCCGTGCACGGCCTCCAGCTCCTCCGTCGGCGTCGTCGCAATCAGGTGCAGCTGCTCAATCGCCTTGAGAAAAACGGACTTTATGCACTCCGGGGCGGAGATGAGAATGGCGCGGGTCTTGGCTGCGGCGTCGAGCTTCTGCTGCAGCAGCGCGATGCTGTTTGTGTCCGTGTCCTCAAACGCGCGGTCAAACTGCAGGGTGTAGATTTGCTTCGGCACCACCACACTGAAGCAGCGGCGCAGAATCCCGCGCGTCTGCTCCAGCAGGGCGGTCGGCATCACCTGCGTGACGAGCTGGGCCCCGTCGGCGAGGATCAGCGCGAGCAGCGGCCCCACGACGGTCGTCTTGCCCTGCCCCATGATCATCTGCTGCACCCGCGACACCCCGGCGCGGGCGTTGGCGACGAACCACCGCACCATCTCCACCTGGCGGGCGCGCAGGAGGAGGTTGTGCAGGAACTCGAAGAGGAGGTAGCGCGGGTCGAGCGACACCGCCGCCCCGTCCGCGGCGTCGCCCAGCGTGGCGTAGTGCCGCCGGGCGTTGAGGAGCTCGACGGTCTCATTTTCCAGCTGCAGCATGCGTCCCTCCAACAGCGCCACCACCTCCTCCGACAAAACACGTAACCCGCAGCCCCCCTCGCCGCCGCCGCCGCCGCCGCCATCGCCGTCCGTCGAATGCGTGCCACCCCGCTCCAGCGCCCCCACGTCCACGCCGATGGAGAAGCGCTGCAGGAGCTCCTGCAGTCGTTCCCGGCCGCCGTCTGGGTCCTGCGCCAGGACGGGGGCATCGCCCACGGCGTGGCTTGCGCCGCGGAGGCGTGCGCAGAGCTCGAGAAAGAGCACGAGTTGCTGCACAGCCTGTTTCGCCTGCTGCGCCATGTAGCTACGGTTGGCGAGGAGCATCAGGAGGACAAGTTCCGCCTTTATCCGCTCGATATCCCCGTGAAACGGGTTTACCGCCCGCAAATCGGTCGCCATGTCGCTGCTCAGCAAAGCGCCCAGCAGCCACTCCAGTGGAACGGCAGAGCGGCAGCCTTGCACTCGCTGCAGCCGGTACTCCCGCACACGCGCCCCAGCACCGTCGTGCTCCTCCCTCGCAGCTTCACCGTCGACCTCGGTGTCGCGCTCCGGCTGGGTGGGGGTGCAAATGTCATTGGCGAGGTGCAAGGCCGACGCGGTGAGCTCCAGCACCTCCGCCGCATCCGCCGCACTCAGGTTGGAGAGCGCGGTGATGCAGTTCTGCAGCTCCGCCGCCGAGGTCCTGAGTGTCGCCTGGACGGCGCCCACGCGGCCGTCGCAGAGAATCACGCGCAGGCGCTCGCGTGTGAGGGTCGGGAGGGAGTAGTGCACCTGCCGCCGCTGCTGCTGCGCAAAGCGCTCGGCGTCCTCCTCAAGTCGCGTTAGCAGGTGCCTTGCGAGCGGGGTGCTGCACTGCGCATGCTGGTGGAGATCAAACGGCAGTCGCGAACGCCCCCCGCCACGCTGCGGGCCCTCACTGTCATCGGCGGGCACGGCGGCGGAGGCGGCGGCCTCGCCGCGAACAAACGAGGACAGCAGCTCCACCTCGCTCAGGGGGGCGCCCAGGAGGGCCGACAGCCGCCCCCGCATCCTCGCTGCATGCGTTGACGCGGTTTGCTCCTCCGCCTCACGCTGCTCCACCCACGCCGTGGCAGAAAGCGCGTGAAACGACAGCCGCAGCTGCTCCATGCCTGTGTTCGCGGGGACGACACGCGGCCGCAGATGGTCGGTCATGCGCACAAAGAACTCTCGGCTGCTTGCAGTAAAGCTCTGGCTGCGCTGCAGCCGCTCCCGCTGCCGCAGCACCGCCTCTTGTCGCTGAAACGCCCCTCGCGCCACCTCATTCAGGGACTGGTAGAAGCGCACAAGGACGTGCGGCGTCGTCTGCGCCCCGCTCTCCCTGGTGGAGGTCGTCAGGTTGACGCCCTGACGCATGCGGTGCTGCGCCCGCACCTCCGTCACCGCCTCCGGCCAAGCGGCGGCGGGCGCAAGGTCCATCAGCTGCAGCACAGTGGCGCCCCACGACGGCAGCGCCGCCGTCTCGCCGTCCCGCTGCACCTCCCGCCCCCAGCGGGCGTGTCGCAGGTGAAACCAGCGACTGAGCAGCTGCCCCAGCGTCGCATGCACGTCCTCGCCAAAGAGCTTTGTTGACAGCAGGCCATTTTTAAGGCAGTACAAAAAGTAAAACCCCAGCTTGCTGTTTGCCCCGGTCTCCTCATCGAGAAGCAGCTTATCTGCCCAGAGGAACTCCACTAGGGCTTCCTCCTGCAGGCCATCCGCCTCCGGGGCCTCGTAGGTGAGGCGCCGGGGCCTTTGCGGCTCAATGCGGGACCAGGGGTAGAGCAGCAGGCGCTCCCAGGGAAACCCGCAGCGATCCATCGACGGCGGCTGCATCTTCACCGCCACATAACACTGCGGCGTCAAGGCCTGTGGGGTCTGTCTCTGCTCCTCCCTCACAAGGGCGGCCCACAGCTGCAGTTGGGCACGAACAATGGGCGTTGCCGTGGAGCAGCGCCGGAGAAGGTCCAGCACCTCCTCACGCGTCAGCTGACACGCCTGGGAGACGTGGCGCTTCTTACACAAGTACCCGGCAAGCTCAAGGTGCAGGGGCCAGGGAAGCTCCTGCGGGCTGTACTGGATAGCGTGTGCCAGTTTGAGTCGCACGGCGTGGGCGTCGGGAAACCTGTCAGGAAGTGTTCGCTCCATGAGGCTGAACATGAAGGCCTCCTCCACGCTGAAAGCGCAGTCCGTGTAGCAGGACTCCAAGGTCCGCATCGCCTCCGTGTAGTGCTGTGTGGCACACTGCACAACGGCGTAGTACAGTGCGGCGCCGAGCGTGGGTGGGGTGAGAAAACTACCGCACGGGTGCACCGCAAAGAGATAAAACGGGGACGCCACACTCTCCCGCCAGCGCAGGGAGGAGCGGTCGAAGAGCAGCAGCGGGCTGAATGGGTCCTCCCGCACCTGCATCGCGATGAATTCGTGGTTTGGCACCATCAGGGCAAACCCGCCCGTGCCGTTGCAGAGCGTCAGGCACTGCTGAAACGGCCGCCGCAGGTGCCGCAAAAAGTCACCGGCGCCGTCGTGCCGCACGTTGCGTGGGACGTCGTCGGCCTCGGCCACGTACCAGCCGGGGTGGTCGACGAGGTGCAGGCGCAGCTGGCCGGTGACGGTGTCAACGCGCGGCTGAAACCTCGCGCGAAGCCGTGGAAGCTCGATGGAGGCGACATCTGCCATCGTCGCCGCCTCCGCCTCCACCTCCGCCTCGCGCTGCTCGTCGCCGCCGGGTGGCGACCGCCGCGGAGACACGCGGCCCCACACCAGCACGTGAGAGCAGTCCTCCAGCTCCGTTAGCAGCTGCCGCAGCGGGGCGAGGGCGGGATTCCGCAGGAGACTCAGCAGCACGAGGCCTTGTCCCTCTCGCGCCTCCTCCGGCGACTGCCGCAGCGCACCGTCGTCGCTGCACGTCTCCGCCGCCGCATTCGACGCGGCGCCTTGCTGCGCCCGCCCCTCCACGGCGGTAATCGTGTCGTGGTTGGCCGGGTCGAGAGCCCACTGAATCGCCGCCACAACGTCCCCGCGCAGGCGCCGCAGCAGCCAGCGGCACGTCGCGTCCGAGAGGGGCGTCAGTGCGCTCCGCAGCAACGCCATCTGTGCGCCGCCGCAGCTTGCGCCGTCCTCCACCTCCTCCTCCTCCTCGGCGCCCGCTGCGGGTGTGCCGCTGCCCGTCGCACGGCTGCTGCCGCCGCGTGGGCGACGGTGTGCGGCGTTCTCCAGTCGCGTGACGACGCAGTCCGCCTTGCCGGGCCGCAGCCGCACCTCCAGGGCGTAATTGAACCAGAAGTCCTGCGCCTCCCCCGCTCCGTAGCCGCGAATGACGCTGCCGTCGCCCTCTTCTTGCCAAAAGAGAAACGCCTCGAGGAGGGCGCTGGGCAGCAGCCCCTGGAGCAGCCGCGCCGGCAGGTACATCTCCCGCGCCCCCAGACGGGCGTTGTAGCGGTGGATCTCTATGCAGCCCTCGCACCGCACCCGCCGCGTCAGCTCCCCGGCTTGAAAAGCCGTGAGGCGCAGCTGCTCGCACTCGCGCGGCCGCACCACCAGTGCAAGGCTGTGCAGACAGTAGCGCTGGTTCGAGGTGAAGACGAGGGAGCGGTACATCTTGCGGGCGTGTGAGACGAGGTTAAACACGTGGAAGTGTGGCGCAGGGTGCTTGTACGCAATCAACTCCTTCCAGGTGGCCCGCTCTCCCTCGTCCGGGTACTGCGGGGCGTCGTTCATGATGAAGCGCATCACCCGCACAGCACCTCCGGTGCCGTCCTCCGGCCGCTCCTGCGGCGGCGCCGCGTCGCGCGCCTCTGCGACGGGGAAGTACTTCATGCTGCCCCCGGGAAACTCCTCGCGCAGCACCGCCCGCACAAGGCCCACCGCCCACCGCTCCGCCCGCACCGGCCACGGCGCCTCATCGTAGACGTCGACAACGCGGTTGAACGTGACGCCGTCGTAGGACGCCGCGTGCACCGGCTCCTGTGAAAGCTCGCCCTGTAGCACCAGCGGGACGTGGACGCCCTGATCCAGCGGACTGGGCGCCGTCCACTCAATGACGTCAAACGGCGTGCCGACGACGTGCACCCAGTGACGGTGTCTGTGGCGCATCACGAGGCCGCACCGCAGCGCATCGTGGCCGAGGATTGTCTCAAAGTCGGTGAAGTGCGACATGCTGTCGGGCACCGGCTTGAGCTCCTCTTTGCGCCAGAACAGCTCACAGGAGTGCATGTTTAAGACGAGGCCTGTCGCGGCAGGTCCGCGATAGACGCCAGGCGAAGCCAATCGCCACGAGGACGTTGCTGCCTCCTCGTTGGACGGCTGCGCAGCAATTGCGTCGGGGCCTCCGGCGCACGCCACTGACGGCGCACCTCCCGCCATGCTCCCAGCAGCGGCGGCGGCGGCAGCCGCAGTGCCCTGCACGTAGTTGCGGAGCACGACCCTCTTGATGCGCTCGAAAAGGGCGTCGAGTTCCTCCTGGGGGAGTGCCTCTATGTACGCCAGCATGTCGTGCATCTCCCCCACGATGCAGCTGAGGATGGTACTCTCCGGGACATCCGCGGGCGGCAGTTTAAGCTGCCGCGACTCCGTCGTGCTGCGGGCGTCGCTGCGAAAAAGATTCGGTAGCCGCACCGTGTCGTTGTAGTGGCGGCCACGGATCTGCACAAAGACGGCGCGGCGGCGACCACCGCTGAGCATCAGCTGCTGCCCCTCCTCCAGTACTTTTTTCGCCCTTCCGGCGGTGTCAAGGCCCTGGGCCTGCAGGAACCGCTGCAGCTTCTCCTCCGGCGACAGCAGACGGTCCCCCTCCTGCGCGGTGAGCTGCGTGCGCTGCATGCCCATGCCAAAGCTGTGCCTGGTACGCACGAAGAAAAGCGACTCGAGCTGCGACACCAAGTGCTCGTGGGACGACGGCGCAGGGGAGGCGGGTGGCGGGGCGTCGGTCGTGCGTGCCTGGCCGCCGCCCTCCGCCTCGTCGTCGTCGAGGTCCTGGCGGGCCGCCGCGGCGCGCTCCGTCGCCACCGCCAGCTTCCACGCCGCACGATGGATGACCGCCAGGTAACTGTGCAGCACGCACTGCGTCGGGGTGTCGTCGTTCCCCGCGGCCTCCTGGCACCACTCCCTCAGAATCGGCTGCACCGCCGCGAGGAGGAACTGCAGCATCGCGGCGTGGTAGGCCGTAATCGTCGCCAGCTGCGCCGAGCCCGCCAGCGACGCCCACCGGCGCACACGCCCGCAGAAGGCGAGCACGTCGCACACGACCCCCACAATGAACAGCACGTACGACGCGTTGGCGCTGTAGACTGAGGTGGGGCCAATCTCCCGCACCCCTTCAAGGATGCGGCGCAGCGGGTCAAGCACGGAGGCGGGGCTGTGCCGCAGCTCATTCAGCAGCAGGCCGTAGGTGGTGCCGAGGCAGGACTCGAAGTCCTCCGCCGCGAGGTCGCCACGCAGGCGACGCTGCTCAACCACCCTTCGCTGCTGCTCCGTGAGACGCATCGGCACCATCGTTGGGGCGGCCGCCTGCAGCGTCTCCGGCGCGACAAACACGTCGGGCTCGAAGAGCACCGCGCAGAAGACGCTCTGCAGGGCAGGGGTGAAGAGGTACGTGTGGCGGTCCTGCGAGGCAAAGAAGTCCAGCACGAGCGGCAGCCGCGCGTAGGGCACCGTCAGGCACGAGAGCAAAATCTCCGACTCCTCCTCGCTCATCGTCCCCTCAAAGGTCGGCATGGCGGTGGCGTGCAGCACGTCGTCCTCGGTGGGGTGCTCCACGCCGAGGAGGCGGCCGACGTCGATGGGGGAGTGCAGCAGGAGACCCTCGCCGTAGAGCAGCTCGCGGTCGCCAAAGCCCGTCACCACGAGGTCGGCAATGTCGCTGTCGCGGCCGCGCACCAGCACGCACTCCCACTCCGGCGGGGAGGGGTTTGTGCGCCAGCCGGCGTTCATCTGGCGCCCAGGGGCGTCCTCGTCGAAGGTGAGGCGCCACGTCGCAAACTCGTCCAGCTGCCTGCGGCGGCGCAGCAGCTGCGCATCCCGCATCTCCATCGTTGCCAGAAACTTTGTGAGGAGCACCATGTCGCGCAGCCGCCCGAACTCGGGGTGCTCTCTCGCCAGTGAAGTGCGGTGGCTGCAGAACCACTGCATGAGCATGTCCATCTCGGAGCCCGCGGCGGCAAACCCGCCCGCCGCGTGCAGACTGTAGCCGCAGCTGTCAAGGAGGCGGCGCAGGAACCGCACCGTGACGCTCTCCTTGCGCAGCTCCAACTTCTCCGGCATCCGCAGGTCGAACAGCTCGTGGGCGCAGTGCCGCTGCTGGAATGTGATGTAGCGCACGATGGCAGAGCGCGCCAGCAGGAACTGCGGCCGCACCAGCTCCAGCGTGGCGCTGACACGCACAAAAGGCAGGGCGTGCCTGCCAACGGAGGTGGAGAGGTAATACCCGCCGTCACTGTTTAGCATAGAGGCAAAAAGGCTGCATTGCCCACCGCCGCGCGTGCAACGGGCGACTGCGTCATACACGACGAGAATAGCCATGGCAACCAAGCAGCGCTTGGAGTCAAAGGCCCGCGTCGGCACCTCCACCGCCTGCCACGCCGTGGTGTACGACAGCACAAGCGAGTAGATGTTTTCTTGTATGCGGGTCTGCGCGTCGCCGGCGCCGGCGCTCGTGTTGCCCGCCTCGGGCAGCGCCTCCTCCGTGTAGAAGCTCGCCACAACCTGTCGCTCTTCCCCCGGCACCGCGCGGACGTCGGTGCCCGGCGGCAGCGGCAGCGGCACAATTTCCAGAAAAATCCACGAGATGAGCTCAATGATGTGCATTTGAATCGCCACGCGCGAGTTGGTGCAGCTGTGGCGGGCGCGCAACCAAAGCACATCGACGGCCTCCACCGCGCGCCGAAGCGCCACATCGAGCTGCGACCACCCCGTCACACGACGCATGTCGCTCATCTCCTTCATCTCCGGCAGAACCGTCTGCACCGGTTGCCCGTAGTACGCCACGGTGGAGACGGACGGCAGAAGACTTGTGTTGGCGAATGCGCTGTCCTCCACCGCCACGCGGCACTGCTGTGAGAGCCTAAATTCTCGCTCCTCGCCCTCCTGCAACTCTGTGTTATCCACGTGCTCTTCCGACACCCCATTCGTGGCGAGGCCGCTTCGCAGCGTCTGCGGCTCCTTCGGCAGCGCCTCCACCATGCACTGCACGGCAACAAGAAGCTCCAGCACGCGTGTGGCATCCGCCTCGCTGAGTGCACCGCCTTCCCCAGTGAGGCGTTTATTTGTGTGGTGCGCAAGTTGGGCAGCACCGCAGCGGAACATCGCCACATCTACCGCCCTCAGCGGCGTCGCGCCGGTCCATGGGCCGCGCGGAAACAATGCCGCCTCTGGGTCCGTGCGAAGCGCCGCCACACCCCGCCGGTGCACCAACCGACCGTCGGCGGCGAAGAGGAGGAGCTCTGGAACGTGGCTGATGTCCAACTGCTTCAGCAGCTCCGTGCACGGGTAGGCGGCGCGGGGGAAGGTAAACATCGACGCGTGCTCTTCATAAGCCTGGCGATCGCGATCGCAGCTAAGAAAGAGGAGTTCGACGCCGGCCACCGCGCCAAGCAGCCGTGGAGTGGCCTCCGAGAGAAGCGCGGAGAACTTCTTGCACGGCGGCGCCTGCAGCCCCCCGCAGTAGACGAGCACCGTCTTCGCCTTGAAGTGATCCTCGGCGAGGAGAACGTTCTCGCCGCTCACCAGGACGATGTTCGACGCCCGCGCGGTGCGCCAGAGATCGTCCATCGTTGCCGCCGACACCGTGTCGTCGACCCCGGCACTTCGCAGCTGCCGCAGGGCCCGCCGGATGCGAGCAGCACCGGCGTCCGCATTTCCAAGCGCACCGTCGGCGTCGTCTGCCTCGTCGTCATCGTCGTCGCCGCCGCCGCGGCAGCCGCGAAGGAAACGGCGGGCAACGACGCTGAGGTCCTCCGCCGCACGCATCATGAACTCATACTTGAGCGCGTACTTTATGGACTTCTGCACGGGGCGTGACCGCACGCCGTACTGCTCCAGAAGATACACAAGTGCCGTGACGGCCCCCTTGATGGCGCTCGACGCACTTCGCGCCACCGTCGCGCTGTGCTCGTGTACGGCGGCCGGGAAGCAGCGCATGGCGGCGTCGGTTGCCGGCTGCGTCCTTCGCCGCTGCACCGCCGCCGCCTCGTCTTCCTCCGCGTCGTGGTTGTCGCTGGAGCTGAGCAGCATCTCCGTCGCAAACCGCGGCGGGTCCGTCAGTCTGCGCCCCCGCTCCACGAGCCACGGGAGCAGCACGTCGTAGAAGACCTCCTCGCGGATGTACTCCGACCGGTTCTCGGGCGCGTTCCCACGCATCCGCAGGGAGAGCAGCAGCAGCCAAAAGGCGGGGTCCAGCAGGCGGGCGCTCGCAACCCCCTCGAAGCGGAGCAGCGGGCACGAGACTATTTTCTCCGCTGTCTGCCACGACGGGTGGTACGAGACGCCTTCGCTGCCGCGATTGACGACGACGACGTCAAACACCTCAGGCCCGCGCCGGTGGATGAGCAGGTAGACAGCGTTCGCGGCTTTCAGCCCGACCCAGCCACTTGGCATCAGGAGCCACTCCCCCCGCGCGAGCCCACTGACGACGGACACTGCCTTCTTTACGATCGCGAGCACCTGCTCCGGGCCCTGTGCCCGTTCCGCCTCCTGGGCAAAGTAGTAGCAGCGGCGCAGCGCACCGTGTGCCCGCTGAAGCGACTGAATATCCGCCGCACTGAGTTGGCGCAGCAGCGGGTGTGAGATGGTCGCCTGCCCCTCCTTTCCCAGCGAGTGCAGGAGGAAAGCTGCCGTGCCGGCGCCGTCCGAGGTCGTCACGCCAAGCGTGTTGATGCGCGAGAGGGCCACGTCGAGGGTCAGCAGCGCCAACGCCACCCCGCCGCCCTCCAGCGGGAAGCCTTTGCCCTCCACGTACGGGTCCGCCATGAAGCCGGCAAAGGAGGGAAGCAGCCAAATGTTCCGCTCGAGGTTCCGCAGCAACTTCACGCGTTCCTCCTCCTGCCGCTTTTGTGCGGCGGAGACGGTGTTCACCGACACAACCTCCGCCACGGCGGCGCCGATGAGCATCAGCTTCGCGTTGTTGCGCACGCCCAGCTGCAGAAGCGATTTGTCGTCACTGTCAGGGTCGTTCAGTTTGGGCTTGCCGAGCAGCTTCTGCATCGCGGGCAGTACCCCCGTCTGGGCGTAGAGCTGCTCCTTGAGCCGCAGCAGAGTTGGCGGCGTGGGGCCATCCGGCAGCTCCACCGCGAGGGCCTGCGTGCCGAACTTCACCTCCACACGCATGACGCCGCTCCCGCCCACTCCACCCCCGCACCAAAATGGACGGCCACCAGCCCACCGCGCAGCCAGCCCTAAACACACGTGGAGCCCTTCCACAAGCTGCCGGCCGTACTCTTTTTGTTGTTGTTTTTTTCGTGTTTTTTTTCTTTTGCGTTAACTAAACACAGACAGACGCCAGTCAAAAAAAAAAAAAAATTAAGGGCGGCAGTACCTGCGTGTGCCTCCCTCTCGATCTCTCTCTCTCTCTCTCTCTCGCTCTGTGTCTTCGCTCACTCTAACTAACTAGCAGCTAAATAACGTACGGGCGTGCCTCTTGTTTCGCGCAGCAGAGCCGCAACAGCGGCCGCCCACAGCACACGCAATGAGAAGGAGAAGAAAAAGAAAAGAAGGATGAAAAGGCGAAAAGAAAATGAGCCGCAAAAAAAGAAGAAAAGACATCGCACACGTCGCGGCACACGCCGCCAGCGCCCACGGCGGTGCGGCGGCCAAAGCCAAACAGCGGCGCGGGCGTCCGTTCAGTTGCTCATGACTTATCAATATTCCCCTGCTCCCTCTTCCTTTCGCCTCCCTAAATTTCCCCTGCGCAGACTGAGCACAAAATCCTCGGCCCCGTTTCCGTTTATTTACCGCTTTTTTTTTCCTGTTTTATCTGTTTCTCTGTTCTCTTCGTTTCTTTTCTATT